CAAGCGCAAGGTCGTGAGTTCGGTTCCCGGTACCCCTGTCTAAAAAAAAAAAAAAAAAAAAAAAAGTTAATTGGAGATTTAAAAGAGAAGTTTGGGATATAGTTTAAAGACAGACCAATCAGGACATTGATATACTTTTATACTTTCAGTAACACAGAATCAAAATGTGATATATTTGTTTGTTTGACAGAGGGTCTTGCTCTGTCATCCAGGCTGGCCTTAAACTTACTGTGCAGCCCAGGTTGGCCTCAAACGTGCAGCGATCCTCCTGCCTCAGCCTCCAGAGTGCTGGGATTATAGGCATGTGCCCCTACACCCGGCTAAATGTGATGTATTTTAATCACTTGTTTAGTTTTCTGTTTAGGAGAAGAGTAGAAGAATAACATTAGCTGAAAGCAAAGGGAAAGAAAATACCCATGAGGGGGTAGGGAGTAGTGTCTATTCAAGTACTGTCTAGTGGAGAGTTATAGATGGACAGGCACCTGTATTACTGCTTCCTTAGGAAGAGCATCCTAATTCCAGATTATCCCAATACCAGATTTCCTCCAAGATTACCTCTCTACTTTCTAGTGGCCAACCTAGTGGATGACACGATTTTTCATATCTTGATACTGGGTTAGATCAAGTTATTTTAATCTTTGCAGTTAGAATATCTAAGCTCTGGAAACATGGTTATTTCACAGTAGTTCAAGCACTGGGCTTTGTGATAAACAGTTTTAAACATTTTTGTGCTTTCTTTTCTCAACCAATTCACTCAGCCCTCAAAGCCATCATCTGCTTTCCTGCCAGCAACCTAAACTCCTTCCCCTCTTGTCTTTTGTTCTCCCTAACTTGTTAATCCCTAAGCCTACAGCAATCCATTTGCCCGCACTCTTGTCCTTATCGTCTAGCTGAAGAGTGTACTGAGAAAAACTTCCAGGGCTGCGTGAGTGGTGGTGGTAGGACAGATTCACCACTGACAATCGGTTAGTTTGCACCACCGCCGGACAATCTTCCTGGACTGTAGATTTATCCCCGTTCTCCACAATAGAAATTCAGTTACCACTACTCTTCGATCCATTACTTCCCTCCCCTTCTCCTTGATGTCCAGCCAATAGCCTTGCCTCCCACTTCCCAGAGAAAACTGAAGTTGGCTTAGGCTCTGCTCTCAGCCTGCAGGGTTAGCTACACTCACACCCGTCTTCCTTCCTTTAGAGGAAGGGCCCTCGCTCTCTTGTTCTACTGCAGCATCGTCACGGGCCTCAGCCTTTCTATGGCTCAATGCCTGCTTCTAGATGCTGGCTTCTTGAGGCCCCACACCTGTCCTCCTCCAGTAGAGCATCACGTCTGACAATCTCAGAACTAACACTAATTTCAGCTAAGCACGGAGCGTCTCTGTGACCTCTCTCAGGTGGATCTGCACACGTACCAGTTCTTGGGACTCCTTCAGGCTCAGTGCCCCTACATGAATCACCACCTGGTCCAACCTGCAAAAGAGAAAACATTGGCGGGTCCCTCAAAGTTTAGAAATGCAGAAGGGTTGCATTTTCCACGTTTATGCTGGTTTTAGTAGTTAGCTGATACTTTATTAATCTCAATCTGAAGACTACTCTACAGCAATCTACTATAAATTACTCTAATTCAAAAGTCTTATTCTTTTTTTTACAAAATATTTAATAACACTAAAAATCACAATAAGATAAAAAAGTATACTACTGGGCACGGTGGTGCTTGGCTGTAATCCCAGCACCATGGGAGGCTGAGGCAGGTGGATTGCAATTTCAAGCACGTCTGAGCAATTTAGTGATTTAGCAAGATTCTGTCTCAAAAACAAACAACAAAAGCAAAAAGGGTGGGGTGGGATGGCTATGGATGCATATTAGTACAAAGGCCTTGAGTTCATATACCACAGTACCATCATAATAAAAAAAATCATTATAAAGTGCAAACAGTAAAAAGATAGAAAGTTATTCGCTGGGTGCGGTGGTGTGTGACTACAATCTCAGCATGTGGGAGGCTGAGGCAGGAGGATTGCTGGACGTTTGAGGCCAGTGTGGGCTACATAGTGAGACCCTGTCTCAAGATAAAACAAAATAAAAACAAAAAACAAAAGGATAGAGGGCTATTAATTTAGTGCTGATAAAATCAGCAAAATTACAGGGAAATTCTTTGTTCTCATTTAGTGAGTAAACTGGCCACTACTCAGTTATTTTAAATTGCCTTTTTCCACCCACGTCATTTGCTGCTGCTGTTAACTGTGACTACCCGGGCAGAAGAACTTGGAAAACATGAAGTTTTCTGTATCCTGGCAGCACATTTTATGCCGCCTACTCAAGTGTAGGTAGAAAGAGAATTGTTATACATCGAGACCACAGCATTATGTACTGCAAACAAATCTTAATAAAAATTTTTAAAAATGACCATAGTAAGCTGGACATGATGGCACATGTCTTTAATCTCAGCTATTGGGGAGGCTGAGGAAAGAGGATCATAAGTTTGAGCCAGGTATGGTGGCCCATGCCTGTAATTCCAGCACTTGGGAGGCTGAGTCAGGAGGATTGCCTTGAGTTCAAGGCCAGCCTGGGACACAGAGTGAAACAAACAAACAAAAAAAAAACCAACAAAAACCCCCCAAAAACAGATGACAAGTTTGAGGCCAGCTTGGGCACCTTAGCAGGACTTTGTCTCAAAATAAAGCAAAAAGGACTGGGGCTGTAGCTCAGTGGCAGTGCACCTGCCTGGCATTCACAAGGTCCTGGGTTTAATCTGCAGCACTGAAAAGAAACAAAAATAGAAAACACCCACAGCACAGCAATTCCATCAGGATAGAATCTACTGTGCAAATGTACACACACTTCCCTTAACACCTGCAGACAGAATTCTTTTCAATCCAAAGCTTCACATCAAGGAAAGGATAGGAGCTACAAGTATGGGTAAAGGGCTTGACAGAAGCAACACAAGCTTGCCAAGCAGGCAGAAAGGTGCACATGTGCCCAGCTCCCATAACACGAGGGATTCTGAATACATACCTGAGGGCTGCTTCTAACAAGAGCAGAAGAGCTTTTCTGCAAGGCTCTAGTAGGTTTTCCAAGTTGCTCTTCTATACATAATCCCCACAATAAAATATAAGGTAGAGAGGGTAATTGTGGGTGCCCATTTTACAGATGAGAAAAACTGAGGCTTAAGAAATTCAAGACTTAAATAAATAAGAAATTTAAGAACTAAAAAAACAAAAACAAAAACAAAAACAAAAACAAAAACAAAAAAACAGAAGTTCAAGCCTGGGACAGAAGTTGGTGAGATAAACTTAACCACATCTTTATTTAAAAAGTCAAGAAACATTCAGTTCTCCCTTTAAAATGTCTTCTATTATTTTTTTAAGGAGGAAGGAGACAAAAAGGAGTCTTTTGCTTCTTATTGAAAAAGAAGTGAAAAAATGAGGCAAACTACAAAGGAAAGAGAGAAATCCTCTTGTGGGAAGAGGGAAGGGCTGAGCTCAATCTCTTAGTGCAGGGACCACGGGAGCTAATTCCTTCTGTCCCCTTCACACCCACAAAGGAAGCCTCAATGACAAGCCGTTACTTTATTTACGAGGCAGTAGCTCTGACCACACAGATTGCCTTCCTCACGGCCACCGTAGAACCCACGGTCTTTCTGTGCCATGGGGATAGTCCCTAGGCTCCGCTGAAGAGGAATCTTATCTAAACATGCTGTAGTTACAAACATCCTGGCAATGCAGCACCCAGAAGCAGTAATTTGAACTAAGAGGATTTAAATACTGCAAGGAGGGATGGAGGAAGGGGCAAATGTCTGTTGACACCAAACGAAACTAACATAGCTACTGTTAATACTCTAGGAGACAGAGGCAGGAGGATCCTAAGTTTGAATCCAGCCTGGGCAACTCAGAGAGATCCTGTCTCAAAATAAAAAATATAAAGGACTGGAGATATAACTCAGTGTGAAAGTCCTGGGTTCAACCCCCAGTATGACAAACCGAACCGAACCGAACCAAACCAAACCAAACCAAACCACAAAAAAGAATGAAGCCACCAAAAGCTATTAAAATCTTGAGCATTATAAAAAAGTGTCCAGGGAATAAATATTAAGGCTTGATCAAGCAGCAGAATTTTGGAAAACAATAACTGATTAATTAACACTTGAGCATTTACATTGGTCAAGTATTGATTTAGGCTTGTGTTCAGTGGTGTCATGAGCACCACAGTAAAATGCTGAGATATTTTTGGTTGAAGAGGAAATTGAAGAGGCTCCTCAAAGAACCAGGAACTAGTGCTGTGAGAGACCGAGTCGCTGTAACAGCTGTCTCCTGGGCTGGAGATGTAGCTCAGTGGTACAGCACTTGCCTAGCATGTGAAGCCTTGGGTTTAACCCTCAGGATCACCAAACAGCAAAAACCAAATAACGAAGAGCTGTTTCCTATCTTTTAACTCCTCAGAATTCTTTCTCAGGATGTTTTGCTCTGAGTCCTCCATGTTCATCTCTGGGGTGCCCCAGATGGCTGGGGGAGCAGCCACAGTTAGTCCTGACGCAGACTAACAGAGCTCAGCTGCACGTCACGTCATCCTGGTCAGGCTTCCAAGGGGCTCCGAATGCCTCACGCTGCCCTCCTGCAACCGAGATACCGCATCCCCATTCATGGCAGGCACCAAGTGCTCCAGTGATTCCTGCTTTTCTGTGTCTTAGGTAAATGGGGCCTAGCTGGGAAGCGACATGAGCAGGCTCCCATTTTGCAGGGTTAACAGAAGACTTCTGAGTGGAAAAAGGAAGGTGGGTGGCCTGTCTTACTGTCACCAGCAGTTTCACTCCTGGCCTCCTGCAACCTGTCACCACCTGTTTGTCCTGGTGCTGCTAAGCCATCACCCACTTGCGCCTCTGCTCTCCGGGTCTGCCAGGCACCGCCAGGGAAAAGTGTGGGCTGCAACTCAAACTGCCCAGTGACTTCCCAAGCAGGGGAGGACGAGGCTATGGCTGCTCTAGGTCTTGACTGTTCCAGTCAAGTTCCAAGTTCTACCCAAAGAACTATACTAGGCAGACGCCCTCGCTTCCCAGATTCCATAAATAAGGACGTTTTCACACACGTCTTCACACACGAGGAAGGCCTCGCCTTCCCCCCTCTCCACTCTGCGCTCAGCTGCACCCCCACGGGTCCATTCTGTGTTGCATTTCTCACCTATGTCTACAACTAATTTCTTTTCAGTCGCTGCGCCGACACCTTCCCCCAAGTTACAGAGACACTGCTTTCTTTTGTATCCTTCTCAAGGCAGAGTCCTTGAGACATGCTCAAGGCCTGCCCACTTTAAAGATGTGCGCTCCTCCCTAGTCTACTACTCCACCGTCCTTTCCTTCAGTCTGTGAGGATGTCACACTCTCGGCCCTGCCGTGTGTCTGCAGCTCACCGCAGTCTGGCTTCTCTGCAGTAACCGGCCAGCCTCCTCTCTCAGGTCAAGGATGACTTCCTCACGTCAAACCGAGCAGTCTCCTCAGTTCTCTATCTCTTGACTGGCATCTAATAATTATTGTAACCAATGTGATACCAAATGCAGCATCCACTACAGTTGGTTCTTACCTAACACTTAGTATTATGTGTCAGGCACTGTTATAGCCTTTACCACAACCCCATAAAATAGGCTTTTTTTCTTTTTGTGGTACTGGGAATTGAACCCAGGGCCTTCACACTGAGCTATATATGTAGCACTTTTTTTTATTTTTGAAACAGGATCTCCTAACTTGCTAAGTTGCCCAGGATGGGCTTGAACTTTTGATTCTCCTGCCTCAGCCTCCGAGAGAGTTGGCATTACAGGCATTCATGACCACACCCAGCTAAAAGAGGCACTGGTATCATCCCTATTTTACACAGGCAGGGTGGCTCTGCAAGCCCTGCTCTGGGTCACTCGGCCACACTGACGCGCTGGTAACCCTTCCCCTTGCCCGCAGTGACAGGATTCATTCCTGTCCTCCCCCGCCTGCCCGAGGTCTTTCTGTCCCTGTTCCCACCTCTGTCCTCCCTTCCTAGTGCTTCCCTAATGCTTGTCCTCAGCCTTCCTCTCTTCGCACTTTGCCCACGCCCTTCAATCTCTTTGGGCCCGGCTCTGTGGGAAGAACAACTGAAAGCAATGGGTTACTTCCGCAAATGCTCATGGGACATACACTCCAATGCGGTGCATACATTCGAGTATTCAAAGTGCTTGGAAGCCACATAAGGACCCCCAAGGAAGGCCTGGGCTTCACGCCAACACCTCTGCTCCAGGCCTACGTGGGATTTACCTCCAGTCTTCCCCCTCCACTTGAGGCCACCCCAAGCACTCCCTTCTCCCCATTTATACATCTATCGGAAGGGTCGGGTGGTGGTTTTCATGGTGTGACTCCCTCCTGGATGGAATGCAGGCTGAGGCAGAGACCTGGTTTATGTCCCTGGGACCCTGCTGAGAACCAACACATAGCAATACAACAGCTGGTAAATGAGCCAGTAAACAAACTGGATGTGCTCATGGAATGCTACTGTCCCGTTTGCTTCACCAGGGCATGAATGGGGTGTCATACAAAAATCTGCTAGTGAAGAAGTTAGAGGGTATAGAATGTCCCCCAACTACGCAACAGGAAGCACCTTAAAGAACGTGCTGAGCCATACACACAAACATGTACATGTACACACACATACACACACACAAATGCAGAGACCTGAAGGAAAATGAAAGTTGTCCTAAGCATCGGGCACCCTCCCTGAGGAGGGAGGGAGTGTGAGTTGTTTCATGGAAGAACCAGACACTCCACAGTCACCACCACCGTCCCTTCCTACCCCTTCAGCCCAAGGACAGGTAACCCCGTAGAAGGATGAGAGGCGGTTTCTGGATGGGAGCCACATGTGCCTGGCAGTCTGACTGGCCTTCCACATAAGAAGGCGGACAGGAACGAGAGCCCTGCTCACTGAAGGTAGGTCGCCCAAGGCCCTGCTCATCTTCCCCGCAGCTGACCTGCGGCCCAGCCTCTGACGGGCAGGCAGGGAGGCTGTGTCACTGGGAAGAGCCTCACTCAGTACAGCTCTTCTGAACGTACTGTATTTTATTTCGGTGGAGCCACTCACTTGTTCCTCCCTTGTGTCACCCATTCCTCTGCGACCTGGCGACGTTCAGAGATGCTCAGGGACAGGCCTTCTCCTGTAGTGCCATTCACTGTTCCAAAAAAGAGTCAGTCAGTGGGACCAGCCAATGCCTGCAGCCTCTGCAGCCCCAAGTCTGCAAGCACGGGGCCAGAAGGCCCCGTCTGAGAGGAACGGACCCAGAAAAACAGCAGAAGATGCAGCTGGGTGGAGCAAACGCCACGTGTCCATTTTCACTTTGGCCTCTTTTTCCCGCCTTCACCTTGTCAAGAGCAGTGGGAAGGCCAGTTGTGATCTATAATTACAAATCCAGCCTGGCCCCCAGCGACGACGACCCACAGTTCAGGCTGATCTCCAAATATACCATCTGGTTCTATGTCTGGTCTCACATGGCAGGAAAATCAACCCCCTCCAGCACTGGCAGGTTGAGAAGGTTCTAAGTAGGATTTCCTCTGTGTACTATAAATTGAAAACTACCTTGGCCCATAGTTTAACACAGTGCCAGTGCTCTAAGATACACAACTCATTTTTTAAAAAAAATTCATACGCAAGCACAAAGTAAACACTTTTTGTACCAAGCATTCACAGATTCCCTTATTCTCACACAACCCAGTAAAGCAAAAATTATTCTACTTTGCAGAAGAAAACATGGTGTCTGAAACAAAATAATTCAAGTTTGAACCCAGAACCATGTGATTCCCAAACTCATGCCCTTTCTGCTTACCCTTCTATTCAACCATCTCTGAGTTGTGGCAGGAAAATGCCGATGGCAGTGGGGTACCTCACTGAGGCCCCAAGTGCAGGGCCACGCTCTGAATCTCAAAGTGCTGAATACGGCTGCAATAAGGGTGGCTGGGGAGGCAAGGGAGAGGAGGAAGCAATGTTGTTCTTATCCTTTGGGGGCTTGAGATACTTCAAGTACGCTCTGGTCATAGGGATGGATGTTCTTGTTGAGGAGTATAGATCTGTCTTCCCCACCATGGTTCGGAGCTGTAGGGGGCCCTGGAGTGGCTCCGTATTCAGGTCCAGGTTTTGGCATGAGGTCTGTGTCACTTTTTCACACAAGTGTTAACCTTGTCTGTCTTTGACTATGGTGTCTCTAGGGCCCAAGTATGGTATCCTCAAATTGAAAACCCAGCCAGAACTGGGAGTATTGACATGTGCCTGTAATCCCAGCAAGCTGGGAGGCTGAGGGATGAGGAACACATCAAGTTTGGATCAAGTTTGAGTCCAACCTGGGCAACTGAGCTACTTAGAGAGATTCTGTCTCAAAATAAAAAATAAAAGGAAGGCTGGGGTTGAAGCTCATTGTGAAGATATTGAGTTCACTCCCAAGTACTGGAAAAAAGAAAAGAAAAGAAAAAACGAAGACCCATCAGGGAGCTGAGAGCCCAGAACATCATGTAAGGGGCAGCTCAATTTATTCAAGATCTCCCCCCGCAACCTTCACTGCCTCTGAAATGAGCAGAGATAAATGCTAGACCTGAGGTTCCTTTGTGTGTTGCATTAGTCTTTCTTCCACTCACAGTCTGCAAGCTCAGACTCAGACAGACCAGATCCCTTTCCTAAGAAGCTAAGAGGATTTTGTTCTTAAGAAGGCTGAGCTGTTATGCTACCACTTCTTGGCTGAATGACCTAATCAAAAGAGTATATCTGGGTCACAGATTTTTATTTCTAAATGGAGATAAAAACAGTACCATATCAGTTGGCACACCACCAAATGAGATCCTGAGGTGTTTTGTAGATCAAACATATTTGGGTCTACAAATTCCTGTCTTTTAGTCAGCAGAGCCACGCTCTACCCCAACCTGTGACACAATGATTGTATGACTTCCAGGCCAGTAGCCAGGTAAGATCTATTTTCTAAACACTGAACTAAGGATACGCAAAGAAATTTCAAGGTAACTTACCAAAAACGTTCTTCACTCCCTGTTCTTTCACAAGATAATCCACATACTGACCAATTATTGAAAAGTTGATTTCTCTAAAAGACAGGAAAAAATTGGAAAGAATGCACATTTAGTCTTTTAGATGACTCTTCAACCAATTCCTATGTCTATAAACTGCTCTATCTTGTTAGTAGTTATTAAAAATCCACTTGGCCAGTTTGTGAAATTCTTAGTCTGTTCTGAATAACGCCTCTGTTTTGTTGCTGTTTTCCGACTCTGGTTACTTCTCCGCCAGAGTCACTTGCACTATGAGTGCCTCACTTACATAAGCAAAACACTACCAGTTATCAGGAGAGGTTCTGCATTTAAACTGCTTCTCAAGGAATATTTTAAAAGTAGTTGTCTCTTCTCTTTTGCCATTTTTCGAAAAGAATGAGGCTTGGGGCCAGTGCTGTGATAAGAACTTCACATTTTCTTTTTGGTGGGCAACAATCATTTCTCAGGCCTATCAGATAGGGAAATTCACGCTTAGCAACTAAGGAATTTCAGCACTTAATATTCATGATAACAGATGCAGGCTTCAGCCCATCTGTACTTGCTGGTTTCACACAGAAGATTAACAGCTGGGGAGGAGTTTTGCCGCCACTTGCTTCTCAAAGTTCTGAGGAGAGCAGCATTGCTATCTGATGGGGCTCCTTAAAAATGCAGGTCCACAGACCACACACTCCTGCCCTGGCTGGGACAGGCACGCTGATCCGGGAAGCATTGATGCTTAAGGCGCTAGGGGCATTTTTCCTTAAATCATATGGATTTTAACATCTATAAACGGACTCAGAAACACACTATATGAAGTGGTCTGTCCCCATCCAAAGCACAGGCGGGGAGGGTGGGCGATGAAATGAGAAAATACAAAGAGAAACTGCGCAGCAAGTCTGGGTTAATGTGGCAACCCCATGTTACTCTGCCAAGAACACCAAGTACTAGTTGGCTGCCTTTGCACTTTTATTAGGAGGACCAGAGAATCCTAGTTTAATTTTAGTCTTATTAACATTCTTTTCATCTTCACATATTGTGTTCTTTAAACAACAAAAATGAAACAAAAAATCAGTTTCCCTCAGAGTGAGGTGCTAATGGGTGATGAATTATGGGTGCCTTCAAGAAAGGGGAAAGCAGTTTGCTGCTTCTTATAAAATGCCTCTAACAATGGTAGAATTACTGGGCAGCGGCAGAATTGTCCAGAAAATGTCTGCATACCTATGGTCTTTTTGGAACTATTAAATATCCTTAGAGACACCAGAGATTGAAAAGAGGGAATCTTTAAATGTGTTCTATTTGACTTTCATAAGGTTAGAATTTCTTTTTACATGAAAAAAAGTGGGTTTGTTGGAGAAGCCAGGTATCTAACAACGCCTGGGCTCCATTTCTGTATGGTGGGAAAGAACAGCGGCTGCCCCGTCAGAGCCCCCAGGTGCTCTCCAGGACACCCGAGGCCTTTCAGACCCCTGCCTGGCTCTGCAGGTACAAGTCTGCAGCCCTTGGCAGACACACTCAGCAACTCCAGTGGACCCAGCGAAGCCATCCCGAGCCCTTGTCACAGTTATCACAGAGGCACCCCACATGGCAGGGTTAAGGTGCTAATAATTCTCTTTAGGGACTCTGTTCCCTTCCCTAGTTCTGTACTCTCTTCTACCTCCACAGGATAGCTGGGTCTCACTTTATGGCCGAAGACTCTACTAATCAGCAGGAAGTCACTGGAGAGAATGCAAAAAAGAGCTTGCATTATTTTCTCTGTCTGCACCTTTGGGGCTCTGTGCTCACAGAAGTGAGGTGTCATGTCAGCTCCCTGGGGCAGGCTGTATTCTGTTTGCATCAGGAGACCACATATAACCATTGGCTACCTCAGGGGAGGATGACCAGCCCCCAATTCCACCCCTGCCATTCTCATACTTAACCCTAGGTTACTGTCTTAATTCCAATTCTTGTGAGTGCAGATCCTTTACCTCAGGTCCATGACATATCTTTTAAAAAAATAAAGATACTTAGCTGTTTTCTTTTCCTACTACAGAAACTATATAGATCACCTTAGAAAATACACACAATAAAAAAGGAAAAAAAAAAACCCTGCATATGATTCTTCTTGTAGAGTTTGGCATTTTCTACTCACGAATACACAATATATGATCTCTTATGTAAATATTACCATATTATAAACAGTTATAGTATTTCTCCATTTAGCATTCTAAATCGGGCATTTCTCCATATGTTTGGATAACCTATTACTATACTGGCTACACAACATTCCCTGTTATGGATGAACACAATTTAGCTAATCTTAGCATTCAGTTTACCCAAACTATATAAAAGGAAGGAACTCTTTTTTTAAATTTTTTTTTTAGTACCAGGAATTGAACTCAGGACCTCGTGATTGCCAGGCAGGTGCTTGTGCCGCTGAGCTATATCCCCAGCCCTAAAAGGAAGGAACTCTTATCAAATAATTTTTACCACAATTTGAGGCCCAGAGTGGGTAAAAGTGGAACTGCAAGAGAATTTTACAACTCTTTTCTCAGGGCACAAGGATAAGATAGCTGTTTCAAAATAGCTTTTCAGAGAGAACTCTCCGTTGCAGTTTGTTCCCTCCTGGAGCATGACACAGTGAGAGGTCTTCACTTTAACCAAGGGAACAGAACATACATAACTGGTATGATAGAACATCCATATCAGAAAAGCAAGTATTTCATTTTTCCTTGCCTTTTATATATAACTGTCAGCACTCAAAATCAGATGAAAGTTGTGTGTGCTCTTGGCAAAATGACCATGCCTCAAAAATTCTTGGGCAGAGAATGTGCAGGCAATGAACTGTCCTCTTATCAGAGGATGAAAATATTCTGTTCTGGGAGCCTGGTCACCTGTTCTCCCAGATACTGTTAAAAAGACAATAATGAATGCAATTCTGACTCTAGCAGGCCAGGCTCTTGCTGACTGGGGTAAAGGTTTATTTTAAAAAGAGTTGTAAAAATTCTCATATTGAAGCCAGACACATTGGAGGGAGAAACACAATTTTTTTCTTGATAGTTTGGTCTACCTGAAATAGACTTCCTGTGTACTTGCCCAAAGGGAAAAATGTCTTCCTGAAGCTACAAAGGAAAGCAAGAGTCTCTCTCTTTTTCAGTGTAGAAAAAGGAGACAGGTCCTGGGGGTGTACCTCAGTGGTAGAGTGCTTGCCTAGCATGTGTAAGGCCTGGATTTGATTCTCAGAACTGAAAAAACAAGAATACAAAAGCAAAACAAAGAAGAAAGGAAGGAAAAAAGAATAAAGGAAAGGCAAGGAAGAGAAAAGGTAAGAAAAATGAGATGGCTGGGTGTTTGCAATGGGTAAAGAAAGACCTTCCTTTCCAGCTATGTGTCTTGGGGAGAGGGTGCTAGTCCTTAAAATCTCAGTTATTCCAACTGCAAAAAAAAAAAAAAAAAAAAAAAAAAAGGCTACAGCTCTGCTGAGTTGTCAAGATTTAATTGAAATATGTCAATGAAAATACCCAGGGTGATGAACAATAGAGTTTGCTCCATCAGGATAAACTTTTTTCTCTTTTTTTTTGACTACCAGCCTGTCATCTCTGTAGTATACTCACTCATAAGATAACAAAAGTCTACTGTAACTTTGCTAGATGCTGAGGTTATAAGGATAAATAAGATACAAACCAGGCCTTCTATGGTGCCTGGCTCTCAGTAAATACCTGTCGAGTAAGGTAAGACAGCTCAAAGCCTGCTGGAAGACACTGCAGGCACATAACAAAAGGTTATTTTAATAATTATTATAAACAAACAACTTCGATGCAGTGCAAAATGGTAATCATAGGTGCTATGGGATCACAGGGGAAACAGCCTCAACTTTTTTAGGGGAAATGGGGAAGAATGACTAAAGGATGTTATTGGAGCTTGGAAAACCATCGCTCAAGGTACAGCACTTTGGTATGCTTGGCACTCTGAAGGCAATTAAAAAGCTTTAGAAGCAGCCAGGCATGGTGGCACATGACTGTAATCCCAGCACTCAGGAAGCTGAAGCAGGAGCGTCATAGCAAATCTGAGACCAGCTTAGGCTATATAGTGACTTTAAGGCCAGCCTGGGTTATACAGCAAGATATTGCCTCAAAAAACAAAACAAAACAAAACAGCCTTAGAATCAGCCTCAGAAGCAAAGGTTTTCTGGTATCTTCCTGCTTCTCCCCTAGGCACAGGGTAGAATTCATTCTCTAAAGCTTCCTTAGGGGCAGCCCCTCCAGACTCCAGAAGGAATTCACTTCCCTTCCTTAGGTCCTTATTGCCTGCCTAAAACTTATTCATTGACCAGGGAAGATTAAACTCCCATCACAAGAAGAAAGACTGGGCATGTCACTACACCTAGACATTTTATCACAGGTACTTTCGGTTCATTGGTTTCATCTAGCTTCCAGGGGAAAAATAATTACAAACAGTTGTCTACCCTTTGGGTCCATTGGTTTCTCCTGAAAATGATTTGCCGCCTCCTAGAAGCGCCTGGAGCACCACTGCCCTCCTAACTAAAGGAGGGTATTTAAGCCTCAATCACCTGGTCCTTTGGGTTGTGTATTTTGTATGGCTCCTGTGCACAAGTGCACGTTAAATATATTTGTATGCTTACGCTGCCTATTAAACAGTCTACTACCGGCAGATTAAGGACTCGGAGGAAGAAATTCCTTCCAGCCCTTTAGCGGTTTGATGGATAAATAGAAATCTTCCACTGAGAAAGGAAAAAGGGTGGTAGAAAGAGGCAGATGACATGGAATCCATAAAGGTAACTGCATTCTGGAGGGGAAGAAAGTGCAGGATGCACTCGCAGAAACAGAAACAAGGCAGGAGGAATGAAAGGCAGATTGTGAAGGATGTGCCGTGCCATCCCGGGGAGCCTGGGCATTCATCTTTAGACCAGTTCATTTCAGATTTTAATATGCTAAAGAATCATCCGGGACCACCATTAAGAGGCAGGTTCTGAGTGAGTAGTGCGTGGTAGGCCTGAGATCCTGCATTCCTGCAAAGTTCCTGTGTGATCCTCAGGTACTTGCTCCATGCATCGCACAGAGTGGTGAGGCTTCAACAAAGGAGAATTAACAGTGATCTCTCCAGAGGAGAGTGACACGACCAGATGTGTTTCCTGGGACGCTCACTGAGAAGCAGGGTGAAAGACAGACTGTGCTGCACATGCTTTATACAGTCTTACACGGCCATACAGTACAGTTAGTGACACAGTGTCAGGACATTACAGTGAGCCTCATCAGTGTGAGTCCTAGAGTAAGTGTGGTTGGACTCCTCTCTTGACAAGAGTATGAAAGCTCTCAATGGGTAAGACAGGTACTTCATGGCAAAGCTGGGGAGCAAAGACCCTGATACTTTAACTAAAATTCATTTACCAATTTTTCTCCTGCCAACTTTCCTATTATGAGACATCAACTTACATTAAAAGAGTAGAATCATTAGTGAATATACTTTGGAATTAAGAAGAAAAAAGGATTCTGGAAAATACTTTGTGTTCAGCCACTGGGAATTATGGGGGTGGTGGTTTTCCTGACAAGCCTTGTTAGGAACGCTTTCACAACGGCACATCAGTTGGCAGAATTTCCAGTTATTATACTTTATGTGCCCCTATGTCTGTCTGATCTACTGTAGTCCACTAGGTTAATGCCCACCTGTGCTCGGGGGTGTGTCAAGCCTGTTTTGTACATCTATGAACTTTTTCCCCCTCAGTACTGGGGATTGACCTGAAAGAGCATTGAGTTACATCTCAAGTCCTTTTTAATTTCTATTTTGAGACAGAGTCTCATTAAGTTGCCCAGGCTGGCCTTGATCCTGCAATCCTCCTGCCTCAGCCTCCTGAACAGCTGGGATTGCGGGCATATGCCATCACACCTGGCTAGGAATGTTTGATAGAGCAGATGAGAGAGAAAGGAGCTAACACAGTGCACATACCTGTCATGTGCTACACATTGACGTACACTGTTTAATTCTCTGAAGGCCCCTACAAAGTATGCATTCTCATTTTGATTTTATACCTCAGGAAAGTAATGTTCCTTAAGGAGAAAATGAGAATTGATAGAAAAGGAGGAAAGGGTGAAATAGAGGCAGCAGGATTAGAGGGTTTGGGGAAATTGAAAAAGATCCAGAAAAGCAGAACCCTTTAAATTGTCTGTAATACGTGGGGGCTGGGTTTCCAGGCAAACAGCAGAACAAAGAAGAAGAGCACATTTACACTCTCCGTGTGTCCCAGACGAACAAATAAGACTGCTTTGAGGAGCCACTTCCAGACTGAGGGGTCTCATTCAAAGGTTAAAGCAGCCGGACCAGATGGAGGGTGCTGAGTTTACAGACAGGCTCTCTTTGTGGCAGGAAGTAAGCCCTGCCTGTTCGCACAGTCACATGCCTCTGTTTTATCTGCTCAACAAGTAGCTGGTGCACTGGGAAAAAGCTGACTTCACTGTTTCTCAGAACTCGTGGAAAGGGAAAAGTAATAGAAAAACAATTTTTAACCAGCTGAGTAATCTAAATGCCGTCTCAGCAAGTTATGTCTAGTAAGGATGTGCTTTTCCATGAATCATAGAAGCTAGAAGTCTGGCACTCTAATGACCTAAGAAGAACTGTGATATGGCCATCGAGAATATTAAAAGGTCTAAGAAATTTCATTTGCTTTAAAGAGGCAAGGTTTACAAATTCAGCAACAGTACATGAAACAGAAAAGCCTTTAAAAAAAAATCTTGAATAGCTCAACTTCCTTTTGCCCTTGTCTAATGCCCTAACAGTTCAAACTTACTAACCTAAATGCATTTCGAGCCTGTGCTAAGCACTCTTGTGTTTAATGCTCATAACTGTACGATGTAGGTGAGATATTATTATTTACAAAGGAAGACATGAGAAGCTTGAAGAATAGAGCATTCTGTCTTGGCAGTTTGGTGCCGCTGACTGGTCTAAACCATTTAGATCCGGGGTCAGAGGAATCACCTCCCGTGGCAGTGTTGAAGGAGGAGTTGTATACAGCACAGGATCACTTATGGCGCAGGACCACTATCCGATCACACACGCTGGGGGACTGCCACAGTGTTCATCCGCAAGTCTGGGGGATGATTATTCAACAGTCACCCACTGCTTCCTCGGCTCCTTTGCATCCCTCCATGTCCTAATATTTAACCAATGTAAAAAAAAGATTAGGAACACGCATAAGGGGTCTATTTTGTGGATACCCTCCCACTTTCTGCAGGGTACGACATTTTTATCCAGTCTATGAACAGCATGACTGAACCATGCAGGCGCCTGGCTCCCTAGAGGGGCAGGGTAGTGCTTGATATCAACTCATATTAAAATACGACTCTCCTCATGCAATTTACTAGCCTTATTTGGGAGAATCAGAGCCGAGGTGAAATCCCAGACAATTTTGTGGAGCTATAGACACCAGGAGAAAGCAGATATAGAGTCCTTCTCTGACTTGGAGGTTAGGGACAGTGCAGAGGGTGAGTCACGGGAACTGCCATTTGGCAGGAATACTGCAGAGGAGCAGAGAGAGCCTAAGGGACTGTTATCACTGAGAGCATCTGTCCTTGTCGGTTGAATGAGAACAGATCCCGTTATGGCCCCAAGTGATAGTTACCCATTCTCAGTCATTGGCGTGAGGGTTGCAGCAACAAGGCCTTGCAGTTTCTTCTTCGGGGTTGCCATTGAGCCACTGGAAAGTCGGAAAAACATAGTGTCATTCTTCTCTTCAAGAAATGTCAATTAATGATCAAACTCCCAGGCAAAGTCCATTTCTACTTTGGAACTGTAAAGTATGCTTACAAGCACACAAACACATACTGTGAAATCTCAAAGCTTAGTTCTATCAGGGACAAAACTTTAAGAACAAGGAGCGGGTGGCCCTAGGAAAATGCTATCGGAAGCCTCCTGTTTTAACTATAAATGGACTGAGCTGGCCCTAACCCTCAAAGTAGTGATAAACTATAAGAGACCCAAGGAAGAACTGCAGACTAACTCGAGTCAAATATAAAGAATTACTATTAGTTAAATTACAAATCCCCAGAAAGAAATAGGGTAAAAAAGGGCATTCTGTTCTCTCTCCCCACCTTCCTTCTTTTCAGCTAGTCTTACCTATAGTCAACACTTAAAACTAGTACTTAACATCCTAAGATTTCAGCATAGTTTAGATAACTATCAGGTTTACCTAATTATTCTTTCTAATTTTGACAAGTTTTGCCAAGTTTTTCTGATTCTAGTCAACTATGTAAACTACATAGTCAACTAGCGCTTCTCCACCGCAGCAAGTCCCCAGGAAGGACCGGAAATGGTGTTTTTGTTTTTTTTCCGGTACCGGGAACTGAACTCATGACCTTGCACTTGCCAGGCAGGTGCTGTGCCACTGAGCTAAATCCCCAGCCCCGGGACTGGAAATGTTTGATTTGCTCTTTTCTTTCCCTGTTCTGAACCCTTTGCTTGACTCCTGGTGTTCCATTCAGGGGTGAGGACCAAGTAGGTGAGTGAGTGAGATGCTGAGACCATAGCTGGATGATGCCTTCCCAGACCTGCGCTCCCGGTGCAGCGCCAATCCTAGAGCACCCACTGGAGCCAAGACATCCCTTCACCTGGCAGCGGGGACTGTCCACAGTCAGTGTAGAGGACTTAACAACGGCCACGAGAGGGACCACAGCGCACTGGGTAAGAGCCTGGATGCTGAAGGCAGCTCTACCTCTCCGTAGTTATAGACACATTATTATTATTTTTTTGAGTTATAAGATATAAAAAGCCACAAATCCAAGTTGAAGCCACATATGCCGTGTTAAACACTCAAAGATAAAAATAAATGGTAATCAGTATTTTGTGACAATTATACAGACGCTAGTGGGTATATAACAAATATAGTGATATCTACAGGCGATGAACAGAAAGCAGTGTTACAGTTCAGATATCATGGGTACATTTAAAAACCCAATGCCCACTACCCTGAAATATGACTCACACAGGGTAGTACTTAACTACGAACCTACCCATTTTATTTGCTTTTGTCATACACTGTTAATCTCATCTCCCCAAATAGGAAAATAAATCTCTGGAGCGCAGTCAGCATATATTCTGCTTTTTCTGTATCCCTTCAGATGAACCCTTGAACAATAAGTCCTGCCTTTGTGCCAAGCTAACATGATACCTCTCCTTGCAAACAGATGCGTGTCCCTCAAGACTTGGTCCTGAAATCAAGCTCAGATCCACTGCTCTGTATCAAAGGAGAGCTTTGCAAAAGGTACCGGATACTAGGCTTTCCCTGACACTTCCCAGTTCATGATGGAAGTCTCAAAGCTAAATGCAATCATCTGGCCCGGAAGAAAGACACAAGACACATCATAAGACAAGGCTCGGACCCTCGAGTCTCACGTGACCACCTTTAGTGCAATGGCCAGGCCACCTGGCCTTTGACCTGGGAGGCCTGGGCTACCCCAGAGGAATGCCTGAGCATCACATGAGATCAGCACCACGCCTGCCGCCACCTGGGGCTCCTCAAGCATCCCAACTCAAGATACCTGAGGCGACCTGCCTTCTGGGCCTCTGAACAACTTCTCTGTTTCTTATCATGGCGGAATTGCAGGGGACCACTCTGGAGTCAGACTTCCTGGGTCTGCACTCTGGCTGTACCACTTATCAGCTGGGTGACCTTGGGCCTGCTACTTAACATCTCTATGCTTCAATTATGCTTCTATAAATGGGGGTAAACGAAATCATATTTCACAGGGTTGTTGAGAAATAAAAGTGAGTCAGTTCATGCAACGTGATCAACAACAGTGCCAGGTATGCAGTAAGCACGTCGTACAGTCTCGTCTGGCAGGTGTAGGATGGGAGCAGGTCTTTCCATTCCCCTATCAGCGCCATGTCCCCAGTCACCTCTGCTCTGCTGATGACTCTCCCCAACCCTCACTGCTAGCCTCGAACTCACTACATTGCCCAGGCTGGCCTTGAACTTCCATCGATTCTCCTGCCTCAGCCTCCTGAGTGCTGGGATTACAGGCATGCGCCACTACTCCTGGCCCCCTCACCACTCTTGTCTATTCTGAACTGAAGTCACTTCAATTCTGTTCTCTTCCCCCCAGGCAGTTCTTCCTCCTCCCTACCGTGCTTCCCCCCAACCCCCTTGTTAACTCTTGTTTAGACCAGTGGTCACCACCCAAGGTCCAAAACGCCCAAATAAGAGCACTGAGAGTTTCAAGCAACCTCAGAAGTCTCCTAAATCAAACACTACTGTTGGCTCAGGCTAAGCAGATTTCACATTCTTGTGCTTTCAGCTGCATTTATTTCCTACTTAGCTACCCTGATATTCTTAGGACTGTCAAAAGCTCAGGCTGGCAATTATGTATCTTTTTATTTTGCTCTGACTCAGGGTCTCGCTATATAGTTCAGGCTGGCCTTGAACTCACTAGGTAACCCAGGCTGGCTTCAAACTCATGGTGACCTTCTTGTCTCAGCCTCCAGAGTGCTGGGGTTACCACACGTGGCAGTTATGTGTCTTTGATGGAAGGAAATCAAATTATTTGCCACTTAAAAACTGTTTGAGTAGTTAAATAAATTATGCAGCCTCCGGGACAATACGGCGGGGGATGGGAATTATGGTCCTAATCTCCATTCTCCTGCCCTCCTTCAACCCACAGAGGCCGCCAGATGAGTCTTCAGTGAC